GAGATACATAGATTAAAGATAGATAGATAATTATGAAGAATTGGGGCAATGCATTTACGGAGGCTGAGCATCTCCTCAATCTTCCATCTGTTAGCTGACGGTGTCCCCTGCTTGCTTCAGGACCAAGTCTGGCTCCTGGATCACTCTGACCAGAGATTCATGCTAAGATGCTCCCTCGGTGAGCACTCCACATCCAGCCAGCTTCTATAGGCTCCATGCAGGATCTCCCTATGCTCATTATCCAAGTTTCCTGGGGGGAAACCACCAGGTCTTGAAAATACTCACTAGCTGCTGTGATACATGCATGTAGTACCAGCTACTGGAGAGCCGGAGGCAGGAGGATCCCGTGAGCCCAGGAGTTTGAGACTAGTTTGGGCAACACAGTGAGACTTTATCTCTATAAAAGAAGAAGGAGAAGGAGAAGGAGAAGGAGAAGAAGAAAAAGAAAAAGAAGGATGAGGAGGAGGAGGAGAAGAAGAAGAAATGACAGAGGAGGAGGAGGAGGAAGAGGAGGAGGAGAAGGAGGAGGAGGAAAAAAATAATCACAAGCAAACAGGCTGATCATGTCTATTATTTGTTTGTTTGTTTGTTTGTTTGAGTCAGGGTCTCATTCTGTCACCCAGGCTGGAGTGTAGTGGCACAATCATAACTGACTGCAGCCTCAACTCCCAGACTCAAGAGATCCTTCCACCTCACCCTCTCCATTAGCTGGGACTGCAGGTGTGCACCACCATGCCCAGCTGAATTTTTTATTTTTCTATAGAGAAGGAGTCCTGCTATGTCACTCAGGCTGGTCTGGAACTCCTGAGCTAAAGAGTTCCTTCTTCCTTGGCCTCCCAAAGTGTCGGGATTCCAGGAGTGAGCCACCATGCCCAGCGCAAGCTGACCGCTTCTAAAAGTGTTCTCCACTCAAGCAGCTCATTCACTTAACAATGTAACTGATTCCCACACACCCTCTCCCAAATCCCTTCCATGTCTTTGCAGAACCAGCTCTCTTAAGAAATACTCCCCAGGCATATTTACAATGCCAATTTTCAGTAAAATTGCAATGCTTGTAAAAAAACAAAAACGTAGGATTCTGTGATGTCGCTGAAAGTGACCTTGGAGGACATCTGCTGGGGGCCAGGCAAGACCATCGCAGTGGAGATCGGGCAGTTCACCCTGAAAGAGAAGCCGGCCGAGGAGACAAGACAGGGGCTTCCCAAGGGGACGAGCGGACCTCAGAGAAGGATGAAAAGGAGCTCAGTTGCTTTTGCAGAGTGACCCCCTTCTACGTCATTTATAGCGGCCACTGTGGAATCAAAGATGTTGCATCAGCCAATCCTACGATTTTATCGAAAAATTGTCCATAAAATAGCCAACACTTGATTTTCTCTTTGTTGAATTCATGTGGAGTTACAAGTGTGTCCTAAATCTTGCTAGCAATCATGTGACGTCTGTGCACTTTTAAGGAAGGTTCTTTTCTTTTGCTTTCTCTTCTCCTCCCCACAGCACAGGCACAGACAGCCTGGGTTCCACTGGCCTGTTTCCCACGGATGGCCAGCAGCACGCCTCTCTCTGGTGCCCGTTACTGTCACGGTGAGGCCGTCTTTGATCTGCAGGTCACTGGGTCCTGCCTGGGCCAAACACCTTCCTCTCTTCCCTTGGAGAAACATCTAAGTCACACAGCAAGACACGAATTTACCCACAGGAGCCACAGGCCAAGCAAAGAGAAAGCCAAGTGAGCCACACGGGGAGAAGGTTCTGGCATCCTCTTCCGGACCCACGGACCCCACAGCAGCCCCTCCCACCCCAGTGGCCAGGCCGGATGCAGCCACCCACTGCCTGCCTGCGGTGTGAAACCCTCATCAGAGTGTACCCTTAAAGAGGGAGGGTTCCTTTCGCTTGAGCTGTAACTGTCCTTTGCTGCTCAAAGGCCTTCTAAGTATTATCATTTACCAGGCAGAGCTGAGAACTCTAGCTCCCCAGGTTTCCCCAGGCTTTCTAGACCTTTCCTTCTGGCTGGCAGACCAGCCGGTTCTTTCGAGCTCACCCCGTTCTTGTAATCCTTTGATAAATGCAGCCACAACGACCCACGCAGGAGTGGCATTCTGTGTTCTCAGCTCTTCCCCCAGGGATACAGGATCTGGGACAGTCTTACCAAATACATAATAACTGCCTTTCTCACCGCTGAGAACTTTCCTTCCACCCACCCCGAGCAATAAACCAAGGCCGCAGAGCTGTGCTTCTGTTCCGAGGTTTCTGGGTCAACCAGGAGAGACCAATTATGCTGCCCGAACAGGCCACCACCCCATGTGTCAGTGACTTCACACAACGCAGCTCACTTCTCGTTCACACCGCAGGCCACTGCTCGTCAGCTGGTGACTCTGCTCTGGGCTTCGTCACTCTGAGACTCAGTCCGGAGCAGCAGCCCCTGCCTGGAACGTCAGAGGTCACGGTGGGAGAAGAGACAGAGAATGCAGGGAAGGGCAGCAGGTGCTTCAAACTTCTTCCTCCGACTCAGGGAAGTCACTCGGCCACACCTGACAGAGGGGGCTCGTGGAGGGCCCCCCCCACCACCTGCCACCCGACCTGTTCCCAGAGGAGAGGCGAACCAGGATGCCTATCAGTCTCCTAGTTACCACCCCATTCTGTGTTGTGTGGAAACACTGCCAGGTGCATAGATAGGTTTTTGGCTAAAACAGCTTAAGGCTTCCTTTTTCACTCCAACGTATGTATTTAACCTATCAATTTTCCTTTACACACTGATTTGGCTGGATGCAATACATTTGATAAACTCATTATTTCATGAGGGGTTACAAAATGGTGAGTTTCTAGTTCTATGATTTCTTCTTTGTTTATTAACTGGAATACTTCCTCTAATTTTTTGGTGACCATAAGATAGAGTTTGTATATCAGAGACAGAATAAGTGCCTGATTCTTTTCCTTTATTCACTCATGTTCAAAATAATGAATTGATTCCAGAATCCTCTAAAGGCAGCTACGTTTTACGTTTTGCAGAATGTCTGTATTATTATTTGCGTGTGATTCCTCACTCGTTTAAACGTATTTGGTGTGTATCCGTTCATTTAAGAAATTGGGTCAGATTGTCCCACGTCTGTCTACTGAGAGTTTCTGCAGGTTTGACTCTTTAGCTTTTTTATTATTTTGAGACAGTTTTTTTCTTGCTGCTCAGGCTGGAGTGCGATGGCGCCATCCCGGTGCAATGCAAACTCTGCCTCCCAAGGTCAAGGGATTCTCCTGCCTCAGCCTCTCAAGTAGCTGATCTCAAACTCCTGACCTCGGGTGATCCACCTGTCTCGGCTTCCCATAGTGTTGGGATGGCAGGCGTGAGCCACCTCTGGGGGCCAGGTGGGTCTCGAACTCCTACCCTCAAGAGTGCCCAGCCGACTCTTTAGGTCTTTGGATGTGACCTCACTAGTCTTAGTCATCATCTCCGCTCTCTGGGATAACAAGGTGTTCCCGATTTATCTTGTTCACTTCCAGCCCATTTCACCAGAGAGGCCAAGTTCCGTGTAGACACAATAAATGGCACATGAAGACAATGGCCATGGTGCTAGGAGTGCTCACTGCCACAGGATGCTTCATTATTTCTAGCTCTTCCAATGCAGGAGGAAACCATTTTTATTTGGATAAGATAAATCACGAACTCCTAATGATGTGTCTAGTTCAAATTCAGGATGACAAGGTTTTTACTTAACCTCAGCACTTCCACACCAAAAAGTCTAGTTTTGATCCCAACCTAATTACGTGTTAGCTTTTTCCATACAACCTTCACAGCAGGATAACAACGCCACACTACCACCACCTCTGTGACTGCGCAGGATTTTCATTTTTGTGTTCTCTCTATGCTTAGGACATATCCCACCAATGGATTCCTGTGTTTCCAAAGAACTTGAAGTAATTCAACTCTGTTAATATTGCCTCTTTTTTTGAGATGGAGTTTTGCTCTGTTGCCCAAGATGGAGTGCAGTGGTGTAATCTTGGCTCACTGCAACCTCCGCCTCCCAGGCTCACACCTTTCTCCTGCCTCAGCCTCCATAGTAGCTGGGATTACAGGCATGTGCCACCACACTCAGCTAATTTTTGTATTTTTAGTAGCAACAGGGTTTCATCATGTTGGCCTGGTGGGTCTCAAACTCCGAACCTCAAATGATCCGCCTGCCTTGGCCTCCCATAGTGCTGGAATTACAGGCCTGAGCCACTGCACCCAGCCATTATTGCCTTTTAAGAATTTTGGAAGAATGTCGTTGGGGTGGTGTGGTGACAGGGGAGACTTCAGAAGGGTGTTCCCCAAGGCCCTGAGTTTGGAAAACAGCCATCGTGCTTTCTCTTTCTTGACAATTTCCCATGCAGATTGGACCAAACAAGCGAAGGGCTCTGAGTGGAGACGTGCCAGACGAGCCTAATTCCTCAGCCCAGCGGGCCTGTGAGAGTTTCCTGCAGCAAGAGGCTGGGTGCACACAGGCCTCAAACACAGAATCAGAGCGGCTCTGTCTTCATGCTCAGTGTCTCTGGCCATATTGACTAAGACGTAGGGATTTCCCTCAATGGCAGCTGGAAAAAAGCAATCGCAGTGAGAAGAGTTTAGAAATATGTCTGTTTACAGAGGTAACAGGGCTGTTTAAAAACAAAGACGATCAGAGTAAGTGGTAACAAAAACTTCCCAAAGGAAGATGGCAGGGCCGGGGACCAGGGATCGGAGGCAGGTCGGGACTCCCAGACTTTTCAGCTGCCTCTTCTGCTTCTGTGGCCCCGGCCCGAGGAGCAGTCCTGTGTCTCAGATCAACAGCTGGAAATACCTAGGAAGAGAGGAGTTCTGAGAAAACGGGGCTCGGCTGGGAAGGAGACGAGAGGCAGGGAGACAGCCAGTGTCATGCTGGCACCTCCCAGCAGCAGGACCGTCAGACCCACGCACTCCAAAATACAACAAGAACAGGAAAACAGCAGCCACAGCCACGGTCATGACCGGAACAACAGAGAAATCAGGGAGACGTGCGTTTCAGTTTGTCGGCGTGAGACTTTTATTAGCTTGCAACATTCCATTTAAGAGAAAGCAGAGTGTGGGACATGCAAAGCCACCCAAGGAAGCCTCTTAAACGCCCACCTTGTTCCAGGCGGAACGCGCATGCCCAGCTGCTCCCAGCTGGAAAAGACACGAGTGCAAGTGGGGTCAGGAGCTCAGGCCTCTGGATAGACGAGCAAAGCTGAGGCCAGCAGGTGAGGGGGACTCAGCCGCAGTTGCAGTTGGGAAGAGAACTGGTTAGGAGAGACGATGGAAGGTAACTAGGGTGGACTCTCCTTAGGAAAAGGGGACAGGGCTGCATTCTGCAGCCGGGAATGGACCCTGGGCAGTGGTTTGGAGCTCAGCCATGAAGGACGGGCCACCGCTTCGGAAGACGAAATTAGCAGGACTCACATGAGGCCTGAGTCCAGAGCCTCAGATCTTGCACTGGCAGCACACGGGGACACAGCAGCTGGACTGGGAGCAGCAGGGTTTGCAGCAGCTGGACTGGCAGCAGGATGACCCACAGCCTGAGGAGCAGCAGCAGGGCTTGCAGCAGCTGGACTGGCAGCAGCAGGGCTTGCAGCAGCTGGACTGGCAGCAGGAGGACCCACAGCCTGAGGAGCAGCAGCAGGGCTTGCAGCAGCTGGACTGGCAGCAGCAGGGCTTGCAGCAGCTGGACTGGCAGCAGGATGACCCACAGCCTGAGGAGCAGCAGGGCTTACAGCAGCTGGACTGGCAGCAGCCACAAGAGCCACAGCCTCCTTTTGAGCCTCCACAAGAGCCACAGCCACAGCCTCCCTTAGAGCCTCCGCAGGAACCATAGCCCCCCTTAATGCCCCCACAGGAGCCACATCCCCCCTTGGAGCCCCCACAGGAGCCACAGCTGGAGCAGGAACAGGCTGGCACACAGCAGCACACGGGCTTGCAGCAGCAGACAGGCACGCAGCAGCTGGAGCCACAGCCCCCACAGCCAGAGCCACAGCCCCCACAGCCAGAGCCACAGCCCCCACAGCCAGAGCCACAGCCTCCAGAGCAGCCACAGCAGCCCATGTTTCTGGTGGATTGAGGGTGGAGCAGGTAGAGGAGCAGGTGAGAGGGAGGGGCAGGTGTGGAGTTCCCTGAGCCCGGGCTCTTTATATACCTGTCCAGAGTCAGGCAAGACACAGGGGCCCTTCCTTGTGACTGTTTTCACTACTTTTCCAAAACTCTATTTTTTTCCTCTTTGCTAGTGACTTCCTCCTGGCTCAGTTGAGCATCTGTTTTCTTTGTGTGCTAAATTTGTCTTTTTCCCTCATTTGTTTTGGCCCCTATAATTAAAACCTCAGCTCCAGGCTGTGGGTGGCTTCCACAGAGCCCCAGGGTGCTGGTCACCTGCTCTCTGCTGACCACATGTGACCAATGGGTGACAGCCTCGGCCCAAGCGCCGTCATGTTCCTGCGTTGACTCCCCCGGATAATATTAACTTTACACGTTGAGATTTCAAAATACATCCATGGTCATAACACCTTACTCACGCCATTCTCAGCTTTCTGGGTATATTAGACCCAGTTCTTTGCATTGCTCTAAAGAAATGCTTGGGATTGGATGATGTATGAAGGATAGAGGTTTGATTGGCTCATGGTTCTGCAGCTCCACAGGCATGGCACCCCCCTCTGCTCGGCTTCTGGAGAGGCCCTCAGCGAGCTCTTCCTCATGGTGGAAGGCGAAGCAGGAGCAGGCACGGCACATGGTGAGCGCGGGAGCAAGGGGGAGGGGCCGCACACTTGTGAACAACCAGATCTGAGTGAACCCACTCACCACCGAGGGGAGTGCGCTGAGCCATTCATAGGGATCCACCCCATGATCATGATCCAGACACCTCCCCGCAGCCCCTCCTTCAACACCGGGGATTACATTCCAGCATGAGATTTGGAGGGGACCTGCCAAGTGTATCATGATGCCCGTGACCCCTAAAGGCTCATGTCCTTACATTGCAAAACACAATCGTCTCTCCCAAACAGTACTCCCAACGTCTCGACTCATTCCAACGTCAAGTCCAAAGCCCCAAGTCCACGTGCCTTCCACCTGTGAACCTGTGAAAGTGAAAACACATTATTTGCTTTCAAGATACAATGAAGGTGGAGACATTGGGTAAACATTCCCATTCCAAAAGGGAGAAATCCGCCAAAAGGAAGAGGCCGCAGACCCCATGCCTGTCTGAAATCCAGCAGGGCAGCCATGACATCTCAAAGGTCAAAATAATCTCCTTGGACTCCCTGTCCCACACCCAGGGTGCACTGGTGTGAGGGTGGGCGCCTAAGGCCCTGGGCAGCTCCACCCTGTGACTCTGCAGGGTTGACGCCTCACAGCTGCTCTTGTGGGTTGGAGTTGAGTGCCCGCAGCTCAGGATTCAAGCTGCTTAGGATGCAAGCTGCCAGTGGCTCTACCGTTCTAGGGCCTGGAGGCGGGTATCTTCCTTCTTACAGCTCAATTAAGCAGTGCCCCCGGGGGGACTCTGTGTCGGGCCTCCTACCCCACATTTCCCCTCTACACTGCCCTAGTAGATATTCTGTGTGGGGGCTCTGCCCCTGCAGCAGGATTTTTCCTGAGTGCCCAGGCGTTCTCATAAATCTTCTGCAATCTAGGTAGAGGATGCCAAGCCTCCTTCACTCTGGCACTCTGCACACCTACAGGCCTAACGCCAAGTGGGAACCAGCAAGGCTTACGGCTTGCACTCTGAAGCCAGAGCTGTATTTAGGGTCTTTTGAGCTGAGGCTGCAGTGGGAGCAGCCCATGTGTGAGGAACAGCGCTCCGAGGCTGTGCAGGGTAGTGGGGACCTGGGCAGAGCCCCTAGTTCAGTGATGAGAGGGGCTGTCCCAAGCACCTTTGAATTGCATTTGAAGCCTTTTCCCATTGTGTTGGCTATCAGCACTTGGGTTCCTGTTTTGTTTTGCTGTGCTTGAGTTATGCTTATATCTCTAACAGGTGGTTGCTCTGTAGCCTGCCTGGGTTCCTCTCCTGATAATGCTTTTTCATTCTCTGCCACATGGCCATGCTGCAAACTTTCCAAACTTTAATCCTTTGATTCCCTTTTAAATATAAATTCCAATTTTAATTCATTTATGTGCTCTTGCATATGAGAACAGGATGTTAGATTCGCTATGGCCACAGATGGAATTTTTTGCTGCTTAGAAATTTCTTCCACCAGATAACCTAAGTCACCACTCCTTAGTAGCAACTTTCAGATCCCCCAGGACATGAAACACAATACAGTCAAGCTCTCTTGCAGGGCATTACACAGGTGACCTTTGTTTGAGTTTTCAGTAAGTTCCTCATTTCTATCTGAGATCTCATGAGGCTGGGACTTCTTTGCCCTTATCACTGTAATTATTTTGGACACAACCATGTAACCAATCTCAAAGGAGTTCCAACCTTTCCCTCATCTTTCTATCTTCTTCTGAGCCCTACAAAATCTTCCAATGTCTGGCCATTACCCATTTTCAAAGTCACCTCCACATTTTCAGGTGTCTTATGGCAACACCCCACTCCTGGTGCAATTTTCTGCATTAGGCTGTTTTGTGTGTTAGTATAAAGAAATACCTGAGGCTGGGTAATTTATAAAGAAAAGAGGTTTAATTGTCTCCTGGTTCTGCAAGTTGTGCAAGGACGGCACCAGCATCTGCTCCGCTTCTAGTGAGGGCCTCGGGGAGCTTTTACTCCCGGTGGAAGGCAAAGCAAGAGCTGACACACAACATGGTGACATCAACAAAGATAGTGGAGGGAGAGGAGCCACACATTTTTAAACAACCAGATATTCCTTGAACGTATTCATCACCAAGGAGACGGTGCTAAGCCATTCATAGCAAATCTACGCTCATGGTCGAAACACCTCCCAGCAGGCCTCACCAACGTCAGATTTGGAGGAGGCATCCAAATTACATTACTGGGGATTACTTTTTTTGAGATAAGGTCTTCCTCTGTTACCTGGGCTGGATGGCAGTGATGTCATCACAGCAGCTTCAAACTTTTGGGCTTAAGGAATCTTCTCACCTTGGCCTCCTGAGTACCTGGGACTATAGGTGTGTGTCACCATACCCAGCTAATTTTTAAAGTTTTTGTAGAGATGGGGTCTTGCCATGTTTCTCTGGCTGGTCTTGAACTCCTGGCCTCCAGTGATCCTCCTGCCTTGGCCTCCCAGAGTGCTGGGATTGCAGGTGTGAGCCGCTGCACCCAGACAATATCCTTTCCTTTCTATCCAAATAAGAATCATCTAACCTCATCTTGATGCCTGGGGGGAATCTTTTCTTCTACTCAATTATTTCTGAAAATCTCACAAGTCTCTCTGCTGTTGTTTCCTCTCTTCCCCGGGCAGAGTGTTCACTCCTCTTGGGGTTCTTCTTCCAGCTGCTCAGTTGGGGTCCCTGCTCGGTTGTACTCCATGTGGGGTAAGAGAGGTTCTTCTCTGCCACGGTCTGTGTATGTCCCCTAACATTCATCTTTTGGAAACTTCATCCCCAACGCAACAGTTTTGGGAGGTGGGGGCTAACAAGAGGTACTTAGGATGAATTATGGCTGCTTTAAGAAAGAGTCGAGGTGGGGCATTCCCCCTCTTCTGCTCTTCTGCCATGTGAGGACACCATATTCATGCTCTCTTGTCCTTCTGCCTCCCAACATGTGAAGACACAGTAAGAAGGCCCACACCAGACACCAGCACCTTGATCTTGGACTTCGCAGCCTTCAGGACTGAGAACATACATTTCTGTTCTTTATCAATTACCCAGGTCAGGTATTGTCTCCTCGCAGCAGTGACTGTCTAAGACCCTCTAGTCAGCAAACCATTGCTTCTATGATGAGGTTGTGTTCTTTGTTTAAGGGATGCATGCTAAACCCTGAAGAGGGCATGAGAGGAGCACATTACTGAAAAGGAACTGAACTCTGCCTCCCAGATGTCCCTGCTCCCAGTTCTCCTGGCCATGCTCTTGGGCATTGTTTCACTAGTGTGCTCGCCTGAGAACACACCAGCATGTCCCCAGTGTACTTGCCCAAGAATACAACAAGATGTCACCAGTGTACTCGCCCAATAATATAGCAAGATGTCCCCAGTGCACTCGCCCAAGAATACAGCATCATGTCCCCAGTGTACTCACCCAAGAATACAGCAACATGTTACTAGCATACTCACCTGCAGAAATCCTTGAGGAGGTGCTCTATTAAGAAAGAATCAGAAGAGTCGTCAGGAGGTGACTAAATTCTGTTATCAACGGAGGCTGTGGTGTGCAGTTTCCAAGTAACCACCTTAGACCGAGTGGTAGAGACATGCTGAACATAAAAAAGGAGATGGATAACAACAAAAAAAGAAAAAAAAGGAAGAGAAAAGAGCAGACAGCAAGTTGGCAGTTGGGACTTAGCCTCAAAGCACCAAAGAGGCTGAGGTCAGTGGCTCATGCCTGCAATCTCAGAGTGCCTGTAACCCAGGGAGGCCAAGGCAGGAGGATCACTTGAGGCCAGGAGTTCAAGACCAGCCTTGGCAACATAGGAAGATCCCATCTCTAGAAAAAGACATTTTTTACAAATTAGCCAGGCATACTGGTGCACACCTGTAGTTCTACCTACTTGGAGGCTTGGGTGAGAAAATCATTGAGCCCAGGAAATCAAAGCTTCAATGAGACATGATATAAAAATAAATATGTATCATAAAAATTAAAAATAACGGAGGCAGATTTAAAGATCTCACTTTCAGAATTGGAGACACAAAAAAGCAAGGACAGAAAGGAATCAAGTAAGACAACTGACAAGCCCAAACAAACGTTCCGTTTGGGAACTGGTCCCCGAGGATGGATGGCGCCTTCCCCTCACCGCCACCCATCCTGCTGCTGCTTCTCCAGAGCCTCCAGCGCTGCTTCTGCTTTGTGCGCACTGTTATGCCTCACCGACCTCCTCCCAATTTCTTCATGCTTTTAACTTCTGGCTCACAACTACTTTTGCCAACACAATTTCTAGGTTAATTCTTAGTGGTTTCCATATACAAGTACATGATCTTTTCCCACGTCTCACCCCTGTGGTGATCTCTGTGACCTGGTTCTTAGCAGGGCACCCCACTGGGGTCTGTCCCATGCACCCAGCTTCCGGCCACCCTGCTC